GCCCCCAGGCCGCGTTCCAGAAGGCCGCTGAGGAGGTGAAGCAGCTCAAGTCGCAGCCGACGGACCAGGAGATGCTGGACGTCTACAGCCACTACAAACAGGCCACGGTGGGCGACGTGAACACGGGTGGGTACGGCCTCGGCGCCCGGGCCCCCGGCACCCGGGACTGAGCTGAGGCACTTGGGGGAGGCAAAACCTCTGCCCGGTGCGTGCCTCGCTCCGTGCAACCCCGCGGTTTGGCAATAAAACGACTCTGGACCGACTTGGCCCGGATTTACGTGCCGGCTGAGGCCGATAAGGGCTTGTGCAACTCGCGGTTTTTCGATTAACCCCGCTGCAGTCATCTAAGGCGTGTCACAACGGTCCGAGAATCCTTTGTGTCAGCTCTGTGCAAATATTGAGTTTGGGATTTTTTGCAGACCTCTCTCAGTAAATAGCTGCCCGAGGCAGGGGATGCTTTTTTAATACAAGTGCTTCTCGGTTCAACAGACTTAAAGAGCAAGGCAAGCTATAGAAGAGTGGAACTGCAATACTTGGGGAGGGGCATGGTTTCTTTAAACTGAATAGGCTGCTAAGAATAGTACTGGAAAGCCAAAACAGAAGAATAGGAGAAAGCTTTTACAGGAGCTGCGAGTAAGTATCATATCTTGGAAGGACTGTAGCAGAAATATCTCTGTAGATACATTATGTAAAATCTCTCCTGTTACTTCTTTTGCTACACTTCTGTCACTGGCAGAGCAGCCTAGGAATACCCTGAGAAGGAAGCTTGTCTCAATTGACCTTGCATAACACTTGAGTAACTAGAATTAGAAAGGAAAAAGGTCATTCATTTGAAGCGCTGGCCTCCTGACCCAGTTGATGGTGAAGTTTATTGGGTGTTGATGGAGTTAAAAGGGAGCAGTGAAGTGTAGAGGAAATAGTGAGTATGAGTAATTGCAACCTCTTGTTCAAGGAATCACAGAATAGTAGGGGTTGGAAGGGACCTTTGAAGATCATCTGTCTAGTCCAACCCCCCTGCTAGAACAGGACCACCTAGTGTAGTTCCAAAGGTGGACAGCATGGAGGGAAAAAAGAGCTGACTTTGTGTTTAAGATGCGATCTTTTTGGTGTGGATGGACCTTAGCGTTATTAATGCTTGCCAAGGTGAAGTGGTCCTCTAGAGCTGTTAATGTACCCACATTTCTGTGGGTCACTGCATTCCTGTGGGGCAAGAGTTTGCTAATGTGAGTTGGCTAGAAAAGCAGTCTCTGTTAGGAGTAAGCTAATAGGGGTTTTGTTGGAGAGAAGTGGAGCTGCCAACTAGCTCTAGTAGGTCATGTTGCCATGTGGGCTGTGCAAGGGTGTTTTTGTGGCTAATGTACAGGCCCCTGCCCAGTTCTATTTGTTAATGCTAAGACATGTCTTTAAGGAGACAGAATGGAAGTAAAAACACAGAGAGGACTTTACATGAAAAATAGGAATCAGATATGGAAGTGTAGATGGTTTTCATCTCTACCTGGCCACAATGTAGCCTGCAATGAAGAGAATTAGAGTTCAGAGCTTATACCCCCAGATGACAGAACAAACAAAGAGCTTTATGTTATAAACATGCCATTAACATGGTGATAATGAGTTCTAAGCTGTGTGCTACTAGCTTTTGGGTTTGTGTCTCTATGTGTAATGGACCTTAGGGAATTTCTGCTTTGCTTTAGAGCTGATATTCTTTAACTGAATAACTTTGAATAACTCATGCAACAGCAATGTCCTTAGAAAGTATGATAAAACAAAATCACATTTTTTGGTGCTACTCTGGTCAAACACTGCTGTCTTCAGGGAGCTTGACAGAGAATATCTCTGTTGCCACCAGTAGAGTTCCAGCATGCTCCCTTGAGGTGATCTCCTGGCTGCAAGTAAATAATAGCTGCAAAGATGAACCATTGTATTTTATCATAGTTAAGAGCTAAATAGCATTCAGGAAAGGCGTAAGTATTGCTTACACCCAGACCACACAAACTAATTCTGCTGCTTATCCTGTCTCTCAGACCGCCCAGGTATGCTGGACTTCAAAGGCAAAGCAAAGTGGGATGCCTGGAATGCATTGAAAGGTAAGTATCTGCTTAAAAACCAAAAAGTAATAAATAAAGTCACAGGCAAACTACTCAGGAGAGTGGTTCAGCAAGAAATAAAGTTGTGTTGCATTTTAAGACGAGTTCTAGAAGTTCAGCATATCACGATACTGAACTCTTACTTTTGATTACCTCTGCAAGGCAGAAGTAATCCTGAAACATGTAGCCAGTGTGAAAATGTATTAAGGTGCAAAATGCCCAGCTGGCCCAAGATGTTACCCAAAGGAGAACTGTAACAGCAGCAGCAACTTCAGTTTCATGTTTGCCAGGTGGCAGCCTTGTACCCCAGAGACTGAACTCTCCCTCCCATTGTGTTTCTTCTAAAGCTTTCCCAACTGAAGATGCAGCTGGGGATCTCTGCTCTAAATGAGGAGCCAAACAACTAGTCTAACCTATGAAAATGGGATTTTTCTGGTGTTTTTTAAACAGCCAGCACTACATCTAAATGCAGTCTAAGTGATTAAATAGCTCTCCTGTAATAATTGGAATGGCCTTAATAAAACTAATACACTGTTGAGCTGTTATTTATACAAATATAACTTTGCTTTGAAATGACTGCTGAACACATTTGTTTATGATTTTAATACTAAGTTCATCGCCAAGTGACTTGCTTAGCTTCTTCGCTCTCTGGTAGGATGCTGCTACGTGCTATAGCAAGGAATTGTGACTTGCACATAAAAGGTGTGTTAATCTGTGAAAGGTATCTGACCAGCCTCCTACGTTCTGTCCTTCAGGAACGTCCAAAGAAGATGCAATGAAAGCTTACATATCAAAAGTGGAAGAACTAAAGGGCAAATACGGCATCTGAGGACTGGACATAGCAGCCACTTGCACACATGGAAACATGCCTTATATCTAATACTGGGGAGAACTGGTTTCTGAAAATAATTTTAAGTACCTAGTGTATTACAGTCAGTTCTCCTCATGCCTGTAGTTCAGAGGAAGCTGTGTACCTGCCTAATGTACTGACACTGTATAAATTCCCTCCGGGAACAAAATCTGGAACTCATTAAAGTGCATTTGGTACTTTAGCTGTTGTCATGGTCATCCTTTGGCGGTTATTCTGAGCTCATCCCTTAACTGCCCTGTGGCAGCTGTCAAACGCGTCTTTGCAAGGCACAAACCAGCGTCTCCAGTCGTAGTGCCACTAGAGGGGGCTCAGTAATCTGTGTTTGCTGCAGTGCGGCCCCGTGTCCAAACCAATCCTTGATGTCTTGTACTGCTTGGCCTCATTTCTCGTGTCGACGAGTGGCAACCCACAAAAGCTACACCACCAAAAAGGTGATGGTGAAGAGGCTACCTCTAATGCTGTATATACTAAGAACGTGGTGTTTGAAGGGACCTCTAGAGGTCATCTAGTCCAACCCCCCCTGCCAGAGCAGGATCACCTACAGTAGGTCACACAGGAACGCATCCAGGCAGGTTTTGAATGTCTCCAGAGAAGGAGACTCCACAACCTCCCTGGGCAGCCTGTGCCAGGGCTCTGTCACTCTCACGGTGAAAAAGTTTTTCCTAATGTTTTTGTGGAACCTCCTGTGCTCCAGCTTGTACCCATTGCCCCTTGTCCTATCATTGGACGTCACTGAGAAGAGCCTGGCAAATGCAAGCTGAATGCAAAATCTTCCCTGTGAAAATGGAGTGCTGGTGCTGCCGTGTACTGAGGCTACAGCAAGGGGTGAATCAGGTGATAGGGTGGCTTAACGCTGGCAAGGCTGTTCAAACATGAAGACTTAGAGTGATCATCAGCAGAATGATTATGATTATTATGAAACCCACTGTTGTGACATCTCTTACCTGTTTTGGTCTGCCTTGTAGAGTCTGTTGGAGCTGCTGATGCTGGAAAAGGAGACTTGACTTTGAAAATGACATGAAATTATTCCAACATAGAGCAAATGAGAATGAAGTCCAAACCTTATGTGGAAATAAGGCATTTAATTCCTGCTAGACTGGTTAGCATCTGAACAGGCAAGGACTTCCTATCAAGCAGTCTCTAGATAAGTAATTGGTTTACAGAAATACAGAGGGATGAAACATCGTAACTGTCTCGGTAAACACACAGTTCCATTCCAAGTTACACAGGCTTTGCTCTCTGTAGTATCTAACTTGTATTTTCTTATGCCACTGGCAAGAGATGGAGATAACTTTACCTCACGTGCTTTCAAAAAACATAATTTCCCTGTTGCTACTTTTAACGGAAAATGTTCTTGGAGCTACTCGTTCACCCTTTAAAATGTATTAGGATGAAGAAGGGTTTGTTCCTTTTTCTCATAGGGAAAAAGGTGATTTGTTCTTCCAGGTAAGTAAGCATTTGGGGGTTTTTACCTCCTCTTGTATCCTGTTAGTTATCTGAGACTGTATGACATTCACCTTGCAAGAGGGTTAAGAGCAGATGTTCAGCGTAAGATGTGGTTTTAGCCCTTTGCCAGCCCTCAGTTCCACAGCCAGCTCCATCTTCACGACTGTATTTTGTGAAGCTGGGCATCCTTGGTGGGTTCTGCCAACCTGTCACAGAGCGTAGGTCATAGTGACAAATGCTTACGCTTCTGCTCTTGTTTGCTGGAAGCTGCTGCACTGTGAGCACACTGTGCTTCGCTGACACACTTTCTGTCAAAACAGGTGTTTTCAGAACTTTTGGCTGCTAAAGCGGTGGAATTGGATTCTGTCTGAAGAGTGGGCTGGGAGCAGCAAGTTCTATATCCCAGTCCCTGTTTGGCTTTATTTCCCCACTGAGACTTGACCAGTTGTTACCATGCCACTCTTTTCTCCTACCTGTCTGGCATTAGGAAAACAGCGCTGTGTACACAAGTGCTTCTCCCGGAGAGGGCTGGATCTCGGCCAGGCTTTTGTACATTGCCTTGTACTTACAAATAATGCTGTTTGCCAGTCGATACAAGTGACTGAGAACTCTACCTGGATTTAGTATCTAGTAATTTTATTTTTACCTTAGTAACACCTTCACATTCCTTAGGAAAGTAGCATCAGTGCTCTCACTATTTAGCTTGCCCTTTGGCAACAAATCTGCCCTTTGGCAACGAATCTGCCCTTTGGCAATCAACTGTGCCTCTTGGGAATAAGCTGAAAAATTTGAGTTGTGAAAGTAAGAGCTATGCAAGAAGAGAGTGCACCAAAGGCAGAAACAAAGGTACTGTGTGCGGTGTTCGTGGCGAGAAGCACCAGCAAAAACGTTGGCGGCACAGCCATTAACTGCAGGGAGAGTGTTGAAAAAGACTGAACTGAGTTGAGGGGCTGGCTGTTTAGCAGCAGGATGAAGGTCTGTAAATACCCGGGATGTTGGGCTGTCTGAAAACGTTCCTGACACACTGACCACGCAGTGCTTGTTGGCGTATGAGACTCTTGGGTTGTGTAAATAACACTTTGGCGGTAGTGATGCTAGGGCAATGGTGGTTTAAAAATATCTACAAACAGACCTGTAGGTAGAGGTAACTGCTTTTATTAAACTAATAAAGGGGTAAAAACAGACAACCATTAAGCTATACAGCCTTGAGATTTGAAACAGAAGCAGCAAGCCTCAAACCGAAATATAACTTCAGAACCAGCGTTCTCTCTGCACCTCTTGATGGAGGAACAGATGCTTTTGGTGGCTGGGCAGTGCTGCAAAACAGGGGCTTGTTCTGACACCCATTCATGGAGCTGTTGCTGTTTCCTCTGTACTAGATCAAAGAAAGGCCAGCAACATCCTGACCCTCGCAGTGCTTGCAAAGGGGAAAAGACCTCACCGAACAACAAGCCCAACACGTGGGAGGTCAGAGGCCAGCTGCCACTCAGGTCTGGTTTGCTGAGTTTGCAGTGTGCGCAGGACAGAATCTGGACTTTGGATATGGCAATAATGTGATAAGACAGTGTTCTTTCTGTCGCACTTCTGCTATTAGTTCTTGCACAGAGAAATTAGTTGATTGGCACCCAGTGCAATTAGAGATAAGCTGTTTTCCTTGGGGTTTTTTTCTTGTGGGTTTTGTTTGCTCTTGCCAAACACATATGAAGGTGCAACACCCCTAATGCAGATTTAGCAAATCAGTATTGGTTTGCTGCTTGGGTACCATAACATTTTTCAGCCCTATGAAGTTATATTTTCTGTTTAACTAAAAAGCACTCCAAGGCTGACTGCGGTGTGCAACTGCCCTTCTGTCAAAATTCTTCAGTCCGCAGCTGAAGCAATCTTGTTTTACCATGGAATTATTGTAACCTTTGAACTTACTTGACCCTGATGATACTGCTAAAAATAAATGACACTTGTATTTGCTGCTGTTTAAAATATTTGCTTTGTTTCCTGAGTGTTCAGAACAAACAATATTGGGCAATATCACTGGGCATCTGAGCCGTCTTGTGGGATTGCTTATAAGTTGGGGGAGATGAAAAAGAAAACCTATTTTGGCTTGGATGGGTTTCTAAATACCACAACTGGCACCCAGAAAGGGTTATATGGATTTCCAAGTTGTCAAAGCTGCTCAGAGGCAAAACAAGCTGGTATTACATAGACATAATACATTTGAGTGAGCGTCACAGTAATACACTCAAGGTGTAAAAGTTGATACAACAAAAGATAGAATCTGATCTATATTTTTTTTTCCTCCTACCCACAAGTATATGAAGTATCTTCAGACTCAGATAACTAATCTATAAATTAGCAAAACTTTAGCTGCCCATTTTAGGTTTAATTAGCATCAGTCCATTCTAGGTGTGAGTCCATCTTCATCATTTATAGAATGTTTTCTCTACAACCAGCATGTCTGTGAAAACTAAACACAGCTTGATTGTGTTACTCTAGAATAGAGAATTCACATGGAGCTTGGCTGCAGTCGTGTTTTAACTTTCAGTCCAATTTCCACCTGTGGCTACTGGATTTTTGGTCAGTTCCAGTACACGTACATTTATTTTTCAAGACCTGGCACTCTTAATGCTTTCCGCATCCCTCAAAGTCTCAGTCTGCAAGAGACTGAAGATCTATTTGTCTCCAAGATCAGGTCAACTTCTGTCTGCAAAGACACCTCGAAATAGGGATCTGACAAAAATGAGAGTTTAAATGCCTAGCCAGATCTGTTGCCATGCCAAGAATTAAAGACGTGATCAGACAGAATTTTATTCAACGGGCAAATACATCTAGAGAAGTAACCAGCTCTGAGATGAGATGAACCCAGACTGGTGGTGACTCAGTTGCTTGTGTTCTGCCTTGCCTTGAAATGAAATAATTCATCGGGTAACTGTTCCCAAAGCCCCGGGTGACTCGCTGAATTCAGTCCTGAACCTTGTCCAGGCTTCTGCAGCAGAAAAGCTGGAACAGATTCTTCAGTGTTAAACTTCTCATGGTTTTAAATGAACCATATGAAACTATTTCTATGTTTTACAACAGTCTCTGGTAATTTCCATTATTTATGAACATGTTTCCCTGAAAATTTTCTCTCCAAGGATAGGATGTGAAATACCCCCTTAAACAATAGAGAAAAGGGACTTTCTAAACAAAATAATGAAACTGGCAATATACCAAGAACTCTGCATTAACACAGTTGAACCAAAAATACAACTGAAGTGCTTTAAAGGTCATTTACTGTGTTGTTATGATGTAGATAAGATTTTCCAGGAAAAAAAATCTTATTTTTCCTTTTAAAGCACTGATCTCTTTTTATCATAGAACAGTGTTGTCACATATAGTTTTCCAAAATAATAATCTTGAGGCTTTTTTCCAGAATTTGTCTTTTCTTCAGGCAATTGTTATTTTTTATCTTAAAAGACAGAGAATATATTTGGCTTGGCTTGTTCTGAGGCAATGAAGGTAAACTCATTTTTCCATTTGAAAAAGGCACGCAGCGCTAGTCAGGCTTCATAAATCCAGGCATCTTTACCAGAAGGTATCTCCAGCCAAGCAGCAGCAGAAACAAAGTGCAAATAAATTATCAGTAACTGTTCTATTTACACAACTGTTAGGATTGTCCTTCCCTTGGTGACTTCAGTGAAGAGTGAATATGAACCTACCAATTCAACGCTGATATTAATTACAGGACAAGTTTAATTCTGG